TAGTATGCTTATGAACCCACATTTCTGCCTCGTACTGTGGTAACTACAGTTGAAGATCCTGTACTTGGATGTCCTGAGTTCCAGACTCTCACTACCTCGGATGAACCACCTAACCTCTCTGAAGCTGCATTACTTTCAACAAAATTTGTGAATAGTAAACCTATGCTTCCCACCTTGTAGGACCGCTGGGAGAATAATATGAAATCACAAATGTGAATGTATTCGGTAAGAGATGAAATGCACTCTGAAAACTTGGAGAATCTGATGCTAATTCCTTTCTCCCCACCCCAGACCCTGGGCCGAGCAGAGATCTTGCTTCATCGTCTTCTAAATCATAAAAGAGAAATTATGTTCTGTGGATGTCACATTTTCGTATAAACCACATTATGAAATTAAGTAAGATCCTCAAATTCATTGGAAATTCACAGTCTTCACAGAGCAGCAACTCTATCCATCAGAAGGCCAACCGCCTAAAGTGACGATGGCTTTCAGTGTGACCATTAAAGCGGGCAAGGTCACGGGCATGGCATTCTGCCAGGCATTAGAAAAAGTAAGGGCATTGCTTTTGCTGAGGTAGGTCCTAAAACAGTTCATGTCAGTGTAAGCATTAATGTAGGACAGACGTGTCAGGGTGAAGCAGGGGTAGGAGGAAAGGAGTTTGGATCCTTGCCATAACAAGGGCAAATTCACCAAGATTTTGAGACAGCGGGTTTATAAATGTGGAGGGACGGTCTGGGGAAGGCAGTGGGCAGCGAAAGGGACAATGCAGAGACCACACTTCTTAGGCAGACACAACACACTGGGATTTGCATCCCAATTTTTTTTTTTTTTTTGCCAATTACAAAGAGCATGACTTTGAGCCAGTTACTTCTCTGCCTTGGTTTCCATCTATCCGTAAGATGCTAGTAGGATGCTAATGTTGTGGTTGTTGAGAAGAGTAAATACGATAACATCTGTAAAATTCACAGCCCAATGCGTGGCACACGATACTCGCTCATTAAATATTAGGTGTTATTTTTATTTGGGTGACAGAAGTCAGGGAGGGTGCCCTGTTGGGGAGAGTAAAAAGGGTAACAGACAGAGAGGGTACAAAGGAAGCCACCTCTGGACCAGAAATGAACATTCCCATGCGGGCTGGCCCTGGTGACGGGGTTTTCGGCTGGGAAGCGTGTGAACAAGTCACTGGCATGGGAAGAGGAGACGTGATCCTTTTCCTGACTTTGGATGTTGAAATCTCACACCCAGAATATGGAAGAAAAAGCATTATACCAATAAAACCACTGCCCACAGTATAAGACTTTACATTAGATGACGGCTTAAAAAAAAAAAAGGATGGCCTTCTCTTACTATCATCTAAAAATAAAATACACAGTCTGCACGCACTTGAGAATCTGAGAGCAGCCCGTCATGTTGGTTCAGGGACAAGTGGAACTGACCCCAAGGACCCTACCTGTCATAGGAGAGAAGCTGGTCGGCTGATGGCTCCAGGAGGCTATGGCTGGGACTTCTGCCAGAGGGCTTTCGTAGTGGCCATCCATACACTTGCTGGGTCACTCTTCCCTGGCCAAGCCTGAAATCAGTTTGCGAGAGCAGTGAGTCTCCCCGCAGAAGCAAAACACTACCTTCCGCACCAAATGTAGCAAGTAGTTAGTTGGCTGACCCGAAGAGAGCTAGTATTTACTGACTGGTACACTGCCCTATTACCTGACATCGGACTCAAATGATAGCCATACAAGTTCTTATCAGTGAGAAGAATCTCACTCCTAAAAGGCACAGCAGAAGGGGCAATAAATTGGTATGATCACCACATTGCCCTGATGGACTCCTCCTTGCACCCAGGGGGGACAAGACTCCCTCCCTGGCCTAGAATTACAGCTATTTTCATCCGGGAGGAAAAAAAAAAATTGCCTCTTAAACTTTGTAAGTGGAAAAAGGATGTCAAGAGAGTGAAATAAATCAGCAATTAACATGCCCCAAAGGCTGAAGGGCCAGGTCTTCCTAGCAGCAAGTGTGCTGACTAAGGCTCTGAAAATATTGTTAGACGGGTATTTGCACAGACGGCCCGTGGACCTGAGGCTTTCACTGAACACGACTCGGCACTTTCTAGTGGTTTCCAACTAACCTATAACTGCCATCTGTGGAAAATTTAATTCAAAGAATCCATGCCAATTAAAAAATTTGAGAAGATCTCTAAAGCGGATGCTCTTTCACCCCTATCTCGTCCCTTCGGCCTTCCTACGTGTTTAAAACCAAGCGTTTGCCATGATTTGATTGGAAGCGTTTCTAGAACACAACAGGATCTGTCACTGAACACAGTGAAAACATGCCGCCGGAAAACCAACATTTTAGGAACTGGGAAGAAATGAAGAATATATTAATTACGGCTGGACGTTAGATAAGAGTCTTATAGACAAGCTTTCTGTGATGGGCCTATTCTTCTTTCCTTTTTCCTATTCCTGAAGCTTTCTTTAAGAAGAGTATTCAATCTTTTCATTAATATTGCAGCGACTCCAATGCTTCCCCACCCCACCCCCCAGACTCCTACTGTCCTTGAGTGAGGAAACTGAGAGAATACTGATTGAGCTGGTGAATGGAAACGTTCCTTTCCTGAAAATGGAATGCTTTATGAAAAACTGCATTCCACACACACACACACACACACACACACACACACAAAACCCCACTCAAACAATCCAACAACTGTCTCTCCTCCTTTTTACCCCGGAGAACCACAGGACTCCATTCACATATTTTGGTGTTTGAATGCATTTGTTCTTAAGCCTCAAATACCCAGGTGGAAAACCAGTCTAGTAAGCCTTTCATTATTCCAAAAACGTGAGCATCCGAGTTACTAAGAACATTCTCATCTCTGCATGGCGAGCAATACATAGAAACCGAATTGTTTATAGCTCTCTAAACTGGAGTCTATGCAGCAGAGTGGCAGTTGGGTGGATTTTTACAAGAATACTTGTAAGTGGTTTGCAAGATGGATTCCGTGCTAATTCTTCTCACATTATGAATGATGGCCCTAGCTAGACACTGTCGCTGGGATCTTCATCTATTAATCATGGAGGCTGCTTTCTTATTCGGTTGCCATAGTTTCAGTGCCTCAGATAGTGTTGGGGCATCTTGGGAAAGGTTTGAGATAGACTGGGGCTTGCAAGCCTTGCAGTTATTTTGGTGGTGGTGGTGCTCTGAAAGAACCGAAAAACCACCTCTCGTGTAATTCAGGGTTGTATTGAAAGAGGCAACTTCTGAGTGTCTCTCTGGACCTTGTTATGTGCACATCCAGCTGGTATTTACTCTAGGATTTGCCTCTTGCTCAGTCCTGCTGGTAAAAAAAAAAAAAAAAAAAAATTACCGTCCAGGGATTGATGTCACTTTCATCTTTCGACAAGAAAGCCAAAGGGTGCAAGCTCTTCATTACAGCTCTTCACCAGCGTGGAGGTAAATGAGGGCATTCACGGCTTGGCTCAAAATTTCAGGTTCATAATTCGGCTTCGGCTCTGCAGATGGCTAAATAAATAGGATGACCTCAGGAGGGCTGTACGTTGTGCTCTGGCATGGCCATGGAAATGTTCTGTGCTTTACCCCAGGTTTAACCCCTGTTATCTTTTAAGGTTGGCACACATTGCTAAGGAGTTAGACTATTTCACCACATTTGGCGACAGCGGCCCAGAGGGCTACTGCTTTGTTAGCTCTTGGGTCCGTGAGCGTTTCTTTCCTTTCTGTAATCCTCATCCTTGGCTGTTTTGAGTTAGGTCTGCGATTCGGGGATGATCAGGAAGAGCTGTCCAGTCGTGTATATGTTGGGCGACCGAGTCAAGGAAAGACGGGGCGGGGGGGCGAGGCATAAGTTGCTGCAAGAAGGAGATAGACACACTCAGTGACTTATGTGCTTCGTGGGGGATGTAGAACACAGCTTTCCTTTGTTAGGGACATTTGACCTTGTGTAACAGATACTGGTGCCCTTCTTAATGCTTTAGTTCCCATTTCTCAAGTGGACTTTCAAGGACTCCTACCAGCCTAAGCCAAGCCATTTCATTCCTTTGTGGATTAAAACATAAAATAAAACCACCTCACACCTGAAGCAAACAGCACTGAATTCTGAATTCAGGACATGCGAGGCATCAGCTATAAACCCCGGGCAGATTCACAGGAAGAAAACCTTGAATTCATTATAAATGGGTCTCATCTAGAAAATTAGTCACTTTTTTTCTTTGCTAGAAAATGACTGGTTTTTATTGCAGGGTGAGCTTCAAAGCAGCCGTTTTAAATTTCCCCAGATCCAGCCTGCCAAAATTTTTTGCATAAGATCAACAAGCATTTTTAATGCACGTGCCTATTATATTGACCCCTCCCCTGCGCAACCGCACTAAATGATTGATTTTAGAGGCCAATAATTTCAAGTAAATTAAAAGGATAACATGGCCTTAATTGCTACTGGCTTCACCAGGATTCTGGGCACCGGAATTCCTTGAGGAGAAACACTTTTAAGTGTCACAGCAGTTTCTGATCATGTGGTCTGGTTTAGCCATAGGCTGCAATTACCCGTGCCCCACCCCCCAAGCCCTTCTCCCCCTCCCCCTTCCCATATCTCTGGGAAGCAAAGAAAACATGCATTTGTAAATTCAATATGATGGACCTCTGATTATTCGGCAGGGTAAGAAATAGGTCTTGCTCCTTTTACAGTATTCTCCTACGTGAGTTGTTTTTGGTTTTGGGGCTTTTTCTAAAAGGTCTAGTGATGGGGAGGACATATTTCAGATCAGAAGCTTTTTTTTCATTGGAAGAAGAGTTTGGGTGAATCCAATCGGCTGTCCTCTTGGCAATAACAAGCTTGTGATTACTCTTTGGTGTCCAGGCAGACACAGTACTGTACACATAGCCTACAGAAAAGTAAGCAGTACTTTTGTATGAATGTCAGTCAGATACAATGTGGACTTTAATTAACCTTAATTAATGATTTCTGATTACAGATTTTTCTTTTGTGCCTCCAGGACACCAATGCCTTGGAGGCTGTATTTTGGTGGAACATTTCCAGACAGCAGTGACTTGAACATGCTTCCGTTATCTTTGCCATGCAAACCATACTAGGTTCTTCTGTGAAAAATGTGATTCTGTATCATTTGCAAAATGGTCATGCAAAGGAAGAAGTATCACTTGAGGGACAACTGAAATTTATAAGTGAGACAGAGCACTTCTAATCTTTGGGGGAACCACTTTTCATTTTAAAGGAATTTCCTTATCAAAACTGATAGTTACTGGCTCCTAGGGGGACCCGAGGCCCTTTCTCCCCAAGATTGAATGGGACTTCAAGTTCTTTCAAATGAAAGAACTGGGGGCCGTGGGCCAAGTGAGATTTCCTTCGCCCCAAAGTACCTGTTACCACGTGCTGAATGTAATGACTAGGGAATACTGTAAGCACGGGAGAGAAATAGGTCCTACTTTTGGTTAAAAGTACTTTTTCCTGTGTCATGAGTTCTATAACAGATATCAAGAAGCTGAATTACCGTGTTAATGCAACTTTTAACGAGAGGGTCTAATAAAAGTTAGATACCATATATTAATTATATTGTAAATTTCTTATTAATTAAATTTCTGTGTGAAAAATCATTCTGTAGCTTATATGAAATTCTAATAGCATATAGCCCATCTACTTTACCATAATTTGTGCTTATGAATTATAAATGCTTAACTTTTACAGCTAAGCTTACCAATCTATAAGCATCATAATGAGATATTACCTAAGTTAAATTGATCTGTCATATTTGCTGTTCTAGGGTAGTGATTATCTAAGATAATTTTCAAGATGGCTGTCCTGTTACATGCAACCATGTTGTATGCAACATGGTTTACTTTTAGTGGAAATAAAATCAACCCAAGATCCCATGCTTGCCCAGCCAAGGGGGATGCTGATGGTATCAAAAGTAGAAAGAACAGAGTAGTTTCCTGTGTAGCCAAGAAAAAAAGGTAACAAACATCCATTGGAGACTTTTCTCTTTAAAGGGATGTACAGAGTACAGGGAAAGGTTTTCTATTCAAAAGTCAACTTTTATCTACAAGGTGTTTCCTCTTATTTGTGGCAAAGGGAAGTTCACCATGTTGAATATGCTGATTAATTAATTCTCGTGGGATATCTTGGAGGGTGGAGCTTTTGTTCCCATATTTTGTCATGTCCAGAACATAAGACCTGTTAATATTGCCCAAACACATCCGCTCCTGAGAATGAAAAGGACAACATAATTGCCTTTGCTGTTAGAAAACAGCCATAGCCAGCTCCCCAGCAGCTCCTACAACTGCCAGGTGTGCAAGAGAAGGCTTTGAAATGTTGTGAATAGCTTGACATTATCACAGTGTCATTGAAATGCAAATTCTTCTGAGCAGAACTTGAAAAGGTTTTAAATGTAGGACTAGGACAATATGGGTTCTTGCTTGTTGTCGACCATACCTAGTGGTAACTCAAGAGTGCTTCTTCTATTAAAAGGAATCGTAACTCATTTGCATATTTTGTTGTTTCTCACTGCCTGTGTTTCAAGTGAAGACACACCCTCCCCGGATGGCATCTTTTGCGGGAGAGGAGGGACCGGCTTCCCGCAAGGAGGTGCAAACATAGGACTGTTTTGCCTAGGAAGGCTATGGCATTCCGAAATCAGGCTAGCTGATAACCATCAACATCCACAGTAAATAACAGTGTTATTATGACTAATAAAGACCTTATTTATAAGGCTATTTTTCAAGGTGCTTTTATAAACATTGCCTCACTGGGTATCATTACAACCGGGGTTAGGCAGGGCAGGGATTATGATGCTCAATTTAAAGATGAGATAGCCGAGGTTCAAAGAATCAAATAATTTGCCTGGGTATGCCTCCAGTGAGGGAAGGGCTTGGGACAGGGTTGCCAACCTTCTGAACCCGAGTTCTGTGTTCCTGCACGTCACTGTACTGTCTCCTCAGTACTTAAACAATTATGAAAAACGATTACAGCCTCCCAAGCACGCACGCTGTCACATTCTGCCTATTACACAGGTTGAACAGTGACAGACAAGTTCAGAAGTAGTTTTCTGAGGGGCGCCTGGGCGACTCAGTCGGTTAAGCATCTGCCTTCGGCTCAGGTCATGATCCCAGGGTCCTGGGATTGAGCCCCGTGTCGGGCTCCCTGCTCCACGGGAAGCCTGCTTCTCCCTTGCCCTCTGCCTGCCGGTCCCCCTGCTTGTTCTCTCTCTCTCTCTCAAATAAAAAATAATAATAATAATTAAAAAAAAAAAGAAGTAGCTTTGTCACTGTCTTAGGGGCTGGAGGGTCCTGTAAAAGATGAACTGAAAAATGGAGGATCTTTGAGGATGTTTTTGATGGGGATTCTGGTCCTATTTTATAGAAGGGACATAAATAAACAGCGACATCAAGGTGCAAACTCTGACCCTGGAGCAGAGCAGATCCGGGGGGGCAGAAGGTTGAACCGGGTATTCTGGCAGGAATATCCTCCTGGGGCTCGTAACTTGTACCTAATAAAGCAGGCACACATTCCTAGCAAGGAGTAAATAGACCGTCGTAGTCGACGAGGGTGGATCTTCCCTCCGACAAAGGTCATTTTATTCTCTGGTCCCTGCTACCAAGTCTAGTGGAAGCAGCAGGAGAACAGGTAGCGCTTAGTCCGGCAAGTTCCGGATACTGCAGAGACCCCGTGGTGACCTAGTTCAGAATGCACTCATGATACAGGCCAGATCCTGGGCCCACATTCTAGCAAGGAAGGTAGATACGTGGAAAATCACTTTGGTGTAAGGTCTGACGGTTCTCCATCCCTAAAGCAGAGTGTGTTTGCTAAGCTGAGGTCCTTAGCTAAGGATGCTAAGAAGGACAGGCAGGAGAGCTCCACGCAGGCAGCCGAGAGGTGAGGTGGGACTTTGCGAAGGAGGAGGCATCTGAGTTGTGTAAAGGAGACTTCAGGAGGTGGGAGTGGAGGGGAGGAAGAGCCGTGGGTCTAAGGGAAGAGCAGGAGCGAAGGCCCAAGGCAGGGAAATGGAGAACTTGGTGCCCGAGCAGCAGGGGGGTCCTCCTGGTCACTGGGGATGTAGCATGGAAGCCTGAGGACGGGGGAGATTGAGAGCTCCCTGCGGAGGGCTCTCCCGGGCTCAAGAGGGGGACCCCGAGCTGCAGGCGGTTGAAGCTTCTCAGCAAGAAGATGACATCATCAGATGTGTGTTTTAGAAACATAAATCTGCTAGCACTGGGAGTAGAAAAAAGGAACCAGATTCGGAGTGTGTTGGCAAGATACAGCCGCCAGGACGTAAGGACCAGTTGGCCGTGGGGGGTAAGGAAGGAGAAGGAGGAAAAATGGCTCCACGCTGTCCTATCGGGGGGACCGAGAGGACAGTGGGGGCCAGTGGAACTCAGGTTTACAGACAAGAGTTCACATTTCACATACCCCGTATTTAAATGACACATAATAGGCCAGACACCAAAGCCTAGCCCTACTGTGCTCACACCCAGCTCTGTAAAGGGAGCGCTAAAGATGTTGAAATTCAGAGCGTTTCAACTGTCACATTTGGTCTTGGCAGCTGGGGCCACTTTCTCCCACATTAGGAAGGTTAATACCATAATAGGAGGTGGATAATCTGAGGAAAACTGAAGCACCATCCAGCGCATCTATAAAAACGGGTTATATAAGCGCAGGAGTGGTGAGTGCTGATGGTGTGCACATGTGAGATCAGATACCAAGCCATCCGCTCCTGTCCCTTTCATTCTGAACAATTTTACTTCATACAAGTGTTTGAGCTCTGGAATTAGACATACATGGGCTGGTCCCTTCCTCCCCACCCCACTCTGTGCGGGGCATATGGTATATGTGTTTGCCTGGTGCAACTGAAATGTTACAGATGATGTAATTCACAAAACACAAATAACACCTAAATTGTGTTGTTTATTTAATAACACAGAGTTCGCAGACAGTGAGGCCTTATCTGCTAAAATTGGACACTGCTTATGTAGTGGAAGAAAAAAATGTGTTTAATAAGATTTCACTTAGGAAGAAATAAATCTTCATTACATCAGTGATTGAGGTGTCATGGGTTTTGGTTTCAACCTTTAGACAAGGGTCAATATAGCATAGCTGTCCAGCAGAACCCCCCAATGTCTTCAAGGGTTGAAAATAACTAATACTAACGCTATGAAAAAGAATCCTAAAAAAATGGAGATTCTATATTTACCCTTCACATCACATTCTTCTTTCAGGGGTTTCTAAATACAACTTGTAATGGGAAAGTTTTCTTCTATATTTTAAGAAGAGGTTGAATAACAGAAGTGAAACGAAACAGGATGAGTCTCATCAGGCAGCTCTAACAAACTAAGTGAGTTTCTAGAAAGGAGACAAGTTTCATAAATTTGCTTTCAGGTCTTATTTTTAAAGTCCAGTTCAAATGAAACACTAAGGAGTCATTTCATTATGCGGGGACCCCGTAGATGAGTTGGTGTCAGAATGCTGAGAGACCGAACCATAGATTATTTACCTATTGGCATTTGCTCAATTATTGTTTTGGTATCCGATTACTTGTTTCCAACTTGTAGGCTGCCCTCTAGTGTTACTTAATCTCAACACAACCACTTTTGTTTAGCTCCCATGAAAGGTGAAAACACATACACAGAATCCCACCGGCTAGTCAGCAGTAAACCTGACCCCGCTAGACACCGTCTCTAAATACAGCATCAAGAGGCTTATGATGCCTGGTTTGAAACATCGTGAACAAATCTGAAGGTGCCCATCACCAAAGCTCTTGATGGCACACAGGACTCTAGTGTCCGGAGAAATACACACCCTGATGACATGTGCCCTGAAGTCGAACTCCCGAATACGAAGTCAAACACTGCACAAGAAGTGCTAGGACATTACCGATTTCACTTATATGTTCTGTGTGTGTGTGTGTGTGTGTGTGTGTGTGCAGATACAACGTTGGCATTCTCAGCGGGCTCAGAAGGGAACGTGACGAGGTCCCAAGTACATCCAGCTCATAGCAGCGGAACGACTGACAGGAATTCAATAAAAATGGTTACTGATGACCATGAGGGTCTCCCTACGGTTTTGAGATTTCCATCAGGAAGAACAAGACTACAGAAGTGCTAGACACACAGAGTGAAGCTGAGGGTCAACATTCCACTTGGGAGGCAACTTCTTTTCTTCTAAAGGGCTGATATGAGGGAGTAGTTAAAAGTATGAGCTCTGGGGGCACCTGGGTGGCTCAGTCTGCCTTCGGCTCAGGTCATGACCCCAGGGTCCTGGGATGGAGCCCCGCATTGGGCTCCCTGCTCCATGGGGAGCCTGCTTCTCCCTCTGCGCCTCTCTCTCTGTCTCTTATGAATAAACAAATAAAATCTTTAAAAAAATGAGCTATGGAGTTTCCTATTCTACTGGCTGAGATGGTGGGGAAGTTACTTAAGCTCTCTGCCTCATTTTCCTCATCTGTAAAATGGGAATACTAACAGCACCTACTTATAAAGCGATTCTCATGACTAAATGTGACCATAGGTACCAGAATGATGTCTGGTACATAATAAGCGCTCAATAAAAATTAGCTATTATAATTTGACAACAAGTCCTCTTACTAGAATTGACTAAATTACGTCACCAGCAGGGTATGGTTCTTGGCATATAAATTACAACTGAAGGGACAAGATGATGACAAGATGATAGCATCTAGAAGGGTCTTTCTGCCTGCTTCTGTCTCTGTCTCTCTGCTCTTTTATATGTCAGGGCATGATTCAAAATAACAGACTGAATCATCACTCATTATTTTATTTAGGAAATATTTCTAAGCATTTTATTTAGGAAATATTTCTAAGCATACCTACTATGTGCATCAAGCTGTATTACATATTGGATCCTATTGGGTATTTCTAAAATATTACATAAAGCGTTAGGTTAGGTGACTAGGTTTTGCTCCATTTTACTCTGCCTTTATGGGGCCTAGTGCTTAGGTAGGAGCCTGAGTTTATCAGGCTTATGCCTATTGCCCCAATCTACAACTTGTGTTCTGGAAATAGAGGACATAGAAACTCCCAGGGAATAATACCTAGGATTTTATCAGTGAGTTTTCTGTAGCAATATTTCAATTGTAGTTAATGTTGTATTTAGAATCAAGAAATTCAGGAATCTTCACTAACAAAGAGGGCCCAAAGATCTCTGTTAATTTAATATCTGACTCAAAACCAATGTGTAAATAGGAAAACGTTATTTTCTACAATACAACTTTAAGTGATTAAGTGGCATTAGCCACTTATACCAATAAACTGAAAACATCACAGTGATTCACTGGCTGTAAACCCTTATTTTCCAGAAAACCTAATAGTTGAACCACAAAACAGCAAAGTGGGTGGACTGCAAAGTAAATCCCTAGTCCAACCCAGCCTTCACCCCTACTTCCCTGCAGTGGTCACAGAAGAAAAGAGGCAGAAAAGAAGCTGGGTGATCACAGAAGGAAAACAAGGGCCAAACTGCTCATTCGCTCTC